AGAGAGAGAGAGAGAGAGAGAGAGAGAGAGAGAGAGAGAGAGAGAGAGAGAGAGAGAGAGAGAGAGAGAGAGAGAGAGAAACAGAGCGAAAGATAGGAATGCGAGACGATGTCCAGGCTTCATTAATGATCCACAAACAGAGATCGTGTCCTTCCCTGCACAGGAAAATGGTCAGTCTTCTTGACGGAATTTTGGTGCTGATACGGACCGGATACATTGCTGAGAACAATCCTTACACAGGAGAATTAAAAAACTGTAGCTAAACCAGCAATAGCTGAACCAGCAGCAGCTGCTGCAATAGCGGGAGCACCAGATGGAACAGTAGCAGCTGCGGCTGCAACATCAGCAGCAGCAGAAGCAATACTCAAACACACACACACACACACACACACACACACACACACATCTTCACCATCACATAAGTACACACATACACATCTTCATCATCACGTACATTCGACCTTCTGATGAGTCGGTGAAAGTCGGACGAAACAGTCATGCTGTTTTGATGGAGTTGTGTATAGCGAACACGATAACACACACATACATCATCGCATATAACGGTTTTGATATGCTTCAGTTTGATTGCTAGCTATGGAGGTAAAGTTGTCTCAATTTTGTATCCACTCATCTTACTGCTGTCTCTTATACACAGAGAGAGAGAGAGAGAGAGAGAGAGAGAGAGAGACCGATTGATGGTTGCACAAACAATTGTGCTAGCAACAACCTTCATCAAACCGCGTAGCGTGCAGCCCGCTTTTTCTGAGCACAAGGTCCTTGCCGCCGTGCGGCCCCAGGCGAAACGAAATGGGATGCTGCGGGGAGGGAACCCTCGTTGTGAAAGGTGTCCACCACATACCTCCCCCAGCTTCCATTCCAAACCTGCGACCAGTCCCTCGCATTTTGAACATACCGCCAGGGCAACCTGATGGCTGTCGCTCCGCCGCAAAAGCGCCAAGGACCGACCGGTCGCCGCGGAACTCTTAACCCACCCCCGATATGCCAGTGATCATCCGGCGCCAAAATTCGCAGACGGAACTCTAACCCCCGTCTGCGTCGATATGCCCTGTTTTCTCAGTGATCATCCGGCGCCAACAATTCGTGTTCGTGCACCTTGACGCAGACGTGGCAACCCACAATTCCACAGCCACAGCCATAGGGCTGTGAACCTTGGCACAGAGGCGGCAAGCCACTATACCGCAGGCTTAGGGCTGAACTGCTCCGCACGGCAGGACGCTGTGCGACGTGTAAGTCATACACGGCATCTGCAGAATGTCAGCCCTCCCGAGATTCTATACGGTGAGCGCTGTCTCTCGATCTCTCGGTCTCCCTCTCTCTGCCCCTCTCTCTCTCTTCTCTCTCTCACACACACACACTCGCGCTCTCCTTTTCATACAAAACTAACCATGAGCGCGCCCAGTAATCAGAAGTACAGGATGCAATGCTATATCCCACCACAGTGTGCTGGAATCATCATTTTTGACGGCACCACCTCACCACATATACCGCCATTATCGCCATCATCATCATCATCGTCGTCGTCGCCGCTGTAGTCCATCATCGTTGTCACCACCATTCCACCTCCATCATCATCATCATCATCATCATCATCATCATCATCGTCATGGTCAAGGTCAAGGTCATCATCATCATCATCACTATGGTCATCGCCGTCCAGTCCCAGGTTCCGTCGTCATCCTCTTCTTCCCCGGGCTTGGGTCTTTTGGATCGTATGGTGATGTATAGTGTAAGTGTCTGCGTCCGACTTGGTCGATCCTCTGTCGCTTTCGGCTTTCGACAGTGAACCGGTCATTATTATGAGCTCTCTCTCTCTCTCTCTCTCGACTACACGTCCTTCCCAGGTTTCCAGCAGTGTTGGCTTGCTTTTCCGTCATTCTCCTCTGGCCACAACAAACTTTGTGCATAGGAGATCTCCTCTTCCTCCTCCCTGTCTTCACCCACTCAGCTTTCGTTGTCGTACTCTCATCTCCTGTAGTTTCCGCCTAGATCTTCTCCTCCTCCTCCATTGTAATCTCGTCCACGTGCATGAAAGAGAAGGCTACAAGAGACGAGGCATGATATTGAGGGGGGGGGAGAGAGAGAGAGAGAGAGAGAGAGAGAGAGAGAGAGAGAGAGAGAGAGAGAAATGACCTGGGAGCAAAGACAGAAGGATGGGCCAGGCGGAAGAACCCCTGTCAGAACGAACTTGGACAATATATGTGTTGACGTGCATGATTTGTATCGTAACGCTAAGATGTCCAGGTGCATCCTGACAAGGCCATCATTATTTTCTGCAGTTTTCGGACTTCGGGTGATATGAGTCCGACCTAATAATAAACATTATATCGCTACAAATCCGTTAGACAAGGCCATCGTTATAGCTGTATCTAGACTGAAAGTTGCCCCAAATACAGGTATAATGACGCCGCGTTCTATTTGGGTGAAGACGACAGTACGCTGATTACTGTCAATGCTATATCGTTTCCGTGTTTTGTTATTGTTCTTTGTTGATGTTCACGTGCTGAACCGCCTACCCATGCCAGCTACCAAATCCTGCGTATGCATGATAAACATGGACAATTTGTGCGTTCGTGTGCGTCCTTGTGCGTCCGTTTGTTCCTCGTTTTGCATGTATGTGTGTGCGCACGCGGGGGGGAGGGGGGGAGAGAGAGAGAG